TAAGATGTGTGGGCTTCAACTCCCAGAATTCTGGGAGTTGAAGCCCACACATCTTAAAGTTTCCAAGTTTGAGAAACACTGATTTAAAGCATGGAAGCCTCTGGTCTTTTTCACATCACTCTGATAGAGTAGGATAACTGGAGCACGGAAGCCAAAGCTGATGCATAGTTCATGCAACTCATACTGTAGCTTGTCTTTAAAATGTTAAGCCATTACATTTTATTCCCCCACTTAGTCCATCCTAGATTTCAGTGAAGAAGCCAAACCTGTATCTTCTAGATCCAAGTAAAAAGTCTTACAGGACCAAATTCATAATTAATGTCTAGCATAAATATGTAACAAGCTACACATAAAAAATCAATTAAAATAAGTTTATAAGAGATGACTATATCAGGCAGGAAGGACACATTTTGATAATATGTTTACACTAATTAAGCTGCAGTATCTTGTAATCACAGAATAATATATGTCAAAGTTACTTGGAGGATTGCTTAACTTCTTACCAAGAGCAGGATCCTACCCAATACATATAACTGGATGACTGGAAGTGATGTTAAGGAATATTCCAGTCAGTTCTCCAGCACCACCTAAATTATTCCAGTCATGCTTGTCTATTTTTGTAATGGTGTGTGGAAATGGCCTTGGGAGATGGGAGGAAAAGATGATGCCTAGGGAATGGTCAGATAAGAAAGGGCATAGCCCACAGCTGCATAATGAGTGGAGAAAGAGGCTTAGAAGGGATCCTCCCTAACTTCTCAGGCTGTAAGGGAGTCAGTGGGAGATTTGTACTTTCAGACTTGCAAAATTCTGTTTATGTAGCCTTACAATAAAATAGTATTAGCAGATCTGATCGTATTTCCTGTCAGGTTTACCTAGTAAAGTTGACTTTTTTTTTTAATTTTAATAATCATGGTTGATTTATTGCTCACCTAAATATACTGGTATAGAATAGAGAACTCTCTTTAGCAGTATGTCAAGAAAAGATTGGGAGAGAGTTGCTACAAAACACTTCATATACAATGATGATGGGGGCAGAGGAAAGAGAGCCTCCACTGGCTGACTCACTCTGATTCCTGGGCAAAACCATAATGCAGTGCAAAGGCTGATTATACTACCCTAAAACTTGCAGCTATCCAAGAAAAAAAAATGGATTGACTAATATTCCTCAGAAATATCCTAGATGTCAGCCCTACAAGGTAGACCAGATCATGAAACTGGCTCCACAGGAAGACTAGAACTATACTTTATTGAGATAGACAATAGTAACAGAATCTTGCAAGTCTGCTTGTGTTTTATCTTCCCTCCTGCTTATAATCCAGGAGTCATAGCTTAACACATGCTTCAACACCTTTTGTTGTCCTAACAGCTTCCGGATGCTTTCTCCAGTCATCTCGATGCCTCCTACACTAGACAATTAAAGGAGAAAGTGTAGGCAAATTGCCCTCCAAATGTCTTAATGGCTAAGCATCTTCAAGGACTAAAAACCTTGCCTATATTCATGTTTATTTCCTGTCTTCTCTCTCCCTTTGGTAGATTCATGATGCTACAATTGACAACTCTAGGAATGTTTTGGAGATTGACAATGCTAGACTGGCTGCTGATGACTTCAGACTGAAGTAAGTTTCTTCACTATCTGTTCCCCAAGACTCTTTCTGAGGTCAAGAAAGGAAGGAAAAGAATCATGGAAAAATTCAGATATGAGAGGACTTGGGCCCCTCTAAAGCTGTATATGCAGGTCTAAGGCTCCGTAGTTTAGCCCTGTCAAAGACTGGAATAGATACAAGCAGGCTGAAGGCCATGAGAAAGCAATGATGGATAGGAAGAAAAGGAGAGAAGAGTCTTGCTCATTGCCAGCTATGTGAAAAAAGCACAGGGATAGCAGCAAAGGAAGATGGCAACATGGGAATGCAAGTCCAGGCTAATCAAGCATGCTGGGGCCCTTGAAAAGAACATTGCCCCTCAAACCTAAGATATACAGTATACGGTTAATGAGCTTGGTTGAGCTTGTGCTTAAAATATGAACTGAATAAAAGGAGGATAGCTTCTCATATACTATCAAAAATAAAGGGGAAAGTGTACAAATAGAAATACTAATCTGCATAAAACATGCACATGCTGAGTTATATGTTTGATGCAAATTTAGTTAAAATGATTGTAACTTAAATGGTAGTTGAAGCTATTTCATCTTAATGGGATCGATGGCGGTGATTTGTGTGTCTGCTAAGTATGTTATCCACGTTCTAGCTGCTGATCAGCAATTTCACAGCCTTCTTGATCTTTAAACTGGAGTCAGACTGGATAGACCTTCAAACAGAAGACTGTTTTTTGTAAAGTAGATACATGGCCTCCTTAAATAAAAACAGTCTAGGTGAAGGAATGGGGGAAAAAAGGAAAAATGCTTGAAAAGTTGTATGTCTCAATACATATAGGTAGAAAAACATATAAAAGAGTGCTTAGCTACAAGGTATTTTCTTCCTGTTTGGAGTTGTTGAACTTTTTCCTTGAATGCTGGCAGGTATGAGAATGAGCTGCATCTCCGCCAGGGTGTTGAGAGTGACATCAATGGTCTCCGCAGAGTCCTGGATGAGCTAACTCTGTTTAAATCTGACATGGAAATGCAGATCGAAGAGAAGAAGGAAGATCTGGCCTACCTCAAAAAGAACCATGAGGAGGTGAGTAAGGAGGGAAAGGAAGATGGGGAAGACTCAGCTACATTGAGAATTCAGCTTAAAATTATCCATCACTGGGACATCCATAGGTAGACTCTTACTTTTTCATGAGTTCTGTATAAAAAAGATTGATCAACATATTGCTGATGGCTGCATTCTAAAAAACTGGATGGGACCAAGACAACAATACGGGTGGGACCAAGGCAGAAATGAAATCAGATCAACATTTTAAAAATATTTTAATTACGTAATTCAACACAGTCAGTAAATTACAGTTTTGGAGCTTGAGGTGGGGAGGCTACATACTGCAGTGAACTAAAGGTTGGGCATCTCTACAAAGACAGAAATTGTGCCTTTTCCAAATGGCACCAGGTTCCATCTTATGGTAAGATATAGCACCAATGTGGATTGCAGGGAGGGGCTGCTGTAAACCAACATTCACATAAAGGTACAGCCTGCCTGCCATTTCTCTCCAAAAGAAATTCTCTTCACTGGGAAAGGTGGGGGCAGGGAACGGAATATTATCACTTCGTCTTTGTAGAGCTGGAAGTAGGAAAGCCAGCTCTTGATGGCTACTAGAAATTCCAGTTAGCCTTCAAGCTTACCAAAAATGTGTAGAACAGCTTTTACTTTGCATAATGTTGATTATCATTGCTCATCAGAAGACTCTTCAAAACATTAAAGTCTTCAGGGACACAGCTGCTGCTTGCAGATACCTGAAAAGAGGTACTATGTGGAGGGAAAACTAATTGTTTGTCCCTATTTTGCCCTCCAAAGTTAATGAAAGAATACAGCACTCAACTGACTGGAAAGGTCAGCGTTGAGATGGACGCTGCACCTGGAGTTGACCTCACCAAAATTTTGGCTGACATGCGAGAACAGTATGAACAACTGGCTGAGAAGAACCGCAGAGATGCTGAAGCCTGGTTCTTTACCAAGGTACACTCCCTTCCCAGAAATTGTCAGTCTTCTAATGGTATCCTGGGTGCTTCCAATCAAAAAACACAGAATGTTAATTCATCCTTCCCTCTCCTTTTTTTTCTGCAAAACAAGCAGGTAGGAGTAGTGGGGCAATTCAGGATATCCCCTTCTTTATATTATTCCAGATATGTATTGGGTTACTGCATCCATGGCCACATGTAAGGGTTGAAATTATTTCTATATCCCTGTACAAACATGTTTAAGATTCTACTGTAAGTCTAGGAATGTCCCTAATTACATATATTTGATCCACTAGGAATCTACTAGGCATGCACTAGCCAAAGCCTGGGGACTTACTCAGCATATTTTTTGTTTTGTTTTGTTTTTAATTCTTCCTGCACCCAGACCGAAGAACTGAATCGTGAAGTTGCCACCCACAGTGAACAACTACAGACAAGCAAGACTGAGATTTCAGAACTAAGACGTACGATACAGAGCTTGGAAATTGAGCTGCAATCACAGCTGAGCATGGTATGTTGCTTTGCCCAGTCTTTGAATGGAAGTGGTCAGATTAGGAAGGATTTTTTTGTAGTTTCTATTTTCTAATTTTTCATTTCCAAACAGTAAGTCAATCAAAATTCAGCTATTCACTGAAATTCACATTTCTCTGAATTTTGCAATGCAAAATTTAAAATGGTATATATCAAAGAAAATGTGCACAAAATACATATTCCTGAAAATAATGTAACAAATAATGTTAGGATAAATATGCTAAAACATATACAAATTTTACTGTGAATTTTAAAAGCAACAGTCTCAAACTAGTATAGAAATGGGATGATCCTAATAGAAAAGCAGGAAACTGAAAGAAACAAAAATCGGTAGGTTCAGAAAAATGAGAAATTGAGGGACAGTAAAATTGCAAGATTCATCCATCCTTCAACAGGTAAAAATATAGGAATTGCCCTACTGGAGTCTGTCCAATAAAACAACTAGCTTATGAAGCATTATTGGTTAGACGGAAATATTTGCAACAGGGCAAGATGGTACTATCCCTCCCCAATTTATAACTACTGGTAGCAATAAGTATTATTCAAGTTCTCAGAGCTGGAATCATACTGCTTTATGATGGAGATTGGATTCTGCAGTTCAGTGTTGGTAGCCATTCAGATTGCTGGATCCTCTTATTTTTCTCCCTTATTAGAAAGCTGGATTGGAAACCAGTTTAGCAGAGACAGAAGGACGGTACTGTGCTCAGCTGGCGCAAATCCAGAACCTGATCACAGGCGTGGAAGAACAGCTGGCTGAATTGAGGAATGACATGGAGCGCCAGAATCATGAATACAAGATGCTCATGGATATCAAAACACGTCTGGAACAGGAGATTGCCACCTACCGCAACCTGTTGGAGGGCCAGGACTCAAAGTATGTAATTGGTCCACAGTGAAAATAACTTAGCAAGGCAAAAAGAGTTCTTGGGCATGATGAGGCTTTCAATAGCATATCTTGTGGGTTTCTTGGTTGAGTACCGAAACTATAGGCTCAGTCTGCAGTTAAAAATGCCCTCGAGAAAAATGCCTCCTTGAATTCCCTTCCAGGTTAGTGAACTGTGGACAATGATTTATCCAAGTAAAATTGAAAATTTAACATCCAATCACACATATAATTATAAAAGATCAGTGACTATTGGAGGAAAACAATTTTTTTAAACAGAATATTAGTTAATACCAGTGGATTTATAGCTTATTTATATAAAATTTACATCACTCGGGCAATAGATTCCTTTCCAAAGATGTTTAGATTTTCCGTGCAAACAACTGGAAGACCTTAGTAGTTGGCATAAATAAAAGATGAAATAATCAATCAGAAAATCTTGACCATAGCTGAATGAGAGTGCCAGCCTGTCCTTCTGAACCAGAGAGTGCCAGAGTTTAGATACATTTCTTTATTCTCTAAAAGTTCTACAATTTAGTTTTCAACTTTATACTGCAAGAATAAAAAAGTACACTTTTATATATGAACTGAGAGCTCCAATACCTTTTTGAACACAGATTTTACTATTCATCCCTTACCTACTTCACTCCACATGTTCCTTGGATACAAGTAGCTACGGAAAAATGGAATTTAAAATGTTCCACGTGTAAAATCTCTATCTGGTTTGGTGCATCTGTTTTGTTATGTAGAATTCTGTGTTTCAGTCAAATATGGTAAAAGCCACTTTTTGAGAGCAAATTTCCATTTTGGCTGAGACTGATGCAACTGATCTCTCATTTTAACAAGTTTCATTCAATTAGGGGTTTAATTCAAGATAATCAGGACAGATAGTGCTGAGGACTGCAGTATGAAGAATCCGCTTCAGTTAATAACTTTGAAAATATAGATAGCTAATCTAAAAACAAGCCAGTTTGGTGTAGTAGTTTAAGGCACCAGACTAGAAACTGGGAGACTATAAGGTCAAGTCTTGCCAGGCACAAAGCCAGCTGGGCCAGTCCCTCTCTCTCGCCCCTTGGAAGAAGGCCAGGACAAATCACTTCTGAAAATGCTACCAAGAAAACAAAGCAGACTTATCCAGGCAGTCACCAGGAGTCAACACTGATTCAGAGGCACCCAGACAATCTATAAACAGCCCCCTCCACTTGCCATGTTGCTTAGAATGACAGAACAGAAAGATTAGCAGGGTTACAAGGTCAGCAGTGTCAGCAGCAGTTCAACGCTACTCCTAAGGTCAGAAGTTCCTAGGACAATGAAGCCCTTTGCTCAGGGCAGGACTGAGGCCAACTGAGGCCCTAAACACAGCCTGGCAACCATGCTCCTCAGCCCTCCCGTTGCTTAATTGACCAGACATTAAGACTCAGTAAGTGCTGAAAACAAAAGTCAAGTGTGGCTGTGAAAGAGTTCATGGCATGATAGCTAGTGGGAGGAGGGGGCGGAAATCTGTGGTATCCCCTTCTCTTGGTGCCCTAAGCAGGTGCTCATTTTGCTTAATGGTTAATCCAGAGCTGCCTTTGCTCTATCCCATCACCACTAACCATCCTGTTTCTTCTGTTTTCCCCTCTACAGATTACCAGTATGGTCTCCAAAAGATGGTAAGAAAAACTTTAGTTGAAGTCACAAACATTAGGGTGGTGGTGGAAAGGTTCAAAGGAGTGCTTCACACTGACTACAGTCTGGGTGAAGCTTTCCTTGGAAGTTGTGTTGCACTTACTTGCACCACAAGTGGCAAAAGTGGGTTCCGCACAAAGGTGACTCGTGTGCAGGAGCCTCTTCCAGTTACTGAAACTGTTGGATGAAGCTTCAGAGTAATGCAAAACTCCTCGTCAAGGAAAATTGCCTCGCCTCCTTGCTGATGTATTGTGAAATGTCCTCAGAGCAATTGTTGAAATCATGGAGCTGAGTCTCGATTTAGAGTGCACTCATTGACAGACTTAAATCCTGTCAATTCCAGTTGGTCTTTCATATTTAGAGGACAAGTACTGAACATGGTAAACATGATCTAGTCCAGTGTTGTCCAAACTTGGCCATTTTAAGATGAATGGACTTCAACTCCCAGAATTCCCCAGCCAGCATGGCTGGCTGGGGAATT